TTTAATATAAAATAATTTTTTACAATACAATATACGATAATATAACTGAGTAAAATTGAATTAAAACTTTTCTAATATAAGATAGTTTCAAAATATGATTTAAGATGATTTGTAATAAAAAAGCATCATAAAAAGATATTATATATAATCTTATTAATTAACATAGTAGAAAAAATAAAAAAAAAATATTAAAACACATAATATAATACAATAAATGTTAGTATAGTTTAATTTAATATATGATATAATTTCATACAATTTAATTTAATATAATCTCATAGGATATAATATAGCATAGCGTAGTATAATATAATATAATTTAATATAATATTTCTATTTTTAAATTTAAATTCAGATATAATATGTAATAAAATGTAATATAATATAATATCATATCCTTAAAATATAACATAACATAATATACTATCATAAAATATGATAATATACAATGTTGTATTTTATCCAACATTTTTTTTACATAATGAAATAATATCTTGTAATAGTATATTGTATTAGATTATACTTTATTAGGTATTTTATATTATTTTATATTAGGTTATTGTTTACTATATAATAATCTGTTCTATTCTATTAAATTATATCGTATTGTATTTTAAGTCGTGTATTTTTATTTTTATATATTATATTTTTAAATTATATTACATTAAATACTATCATGTGCATTATATATAATACTATGTGTATAAGAGATTTCAATGAGAGAAGGGTGTGCACTGAGAGTGGGTGTATGACCAGCAAGTTTGCCCCCTCCAGCTGCAACTTCTTCTGCCCCAAACCCAGTGTTCGACTTGCATGCCTTATCCACGCCTTCAGCATTCAATCCGAACCAGGATCAAATTTTCATTAAAAACATTAGTCTTTTCTCTAGCCAAAACTAGATTGAGTCTCGGCTACTATATAATATATATGTGTTTTGAATTAAATCTTAATAGGGGCATATCGAAAATAAATTCAACACGCTCAAACCTTAAACTTTGTTACTTGAATATCACTGTCAAAATAGTTTTTGGACACATCAGTGGTTTTCAATTTCGTTTCTTGCACCATGTTGGCAGGTGAGGGACACCCCAAGTCAGGCGAGTAAATTTGCTGTCTAAACTTTAATGAAAACAAATTGGAGTTTGATGTGACTGAGATTAAAAGGACATGTCTAGTAGGCACGCGGCCAGGAGGAACTTTTGGGTTTCATTTGTGCTCCGTTGTGTTTCTTCTGTGTTTTACTAGCTCTTCTTGCCCTGGTTTGTCTCGAATGTCAACTATCTCGCCACTATGAACTTCAACTCGCAAGCAATTTAGCGGAGAGCTCTTCTGGGAGGGCCTCGCCCCTCGCAATTGTCACCGCTTGAAAAATAAACATTATGAACTTTGGATCTACGTAGGGGCCCACATCTTGAGTGGAGAGTTGGAGGAACTCGCCGATTTCAGAAGGGTTCAGGTGTGGGCTTTGTGGATACTGAGTTTTTTTAAATATAGATATCGGTTCACAAGGCTGTTTTGGAGTAAATACCTCGCCAAAGGGGTTGGAGTGGAGAGGAGCTCTCCCCCAAAACATTCCCGCCAAGGGAAATTGAGGGAAATTTCTCGCCGGGGGTTTGGGGAGTCAAACTTCTCGCCGCTGGAGAGTGCTTCTGGGGAGTGAAGTTGCAACTGGAGTGGGCAACATGCTGAGCATACAGCCGCTCTCAGCGTACACCCTTCTCTCATTGAAGTGTCTTACATAATATATGTATATATATATACATATATATCATATATCATATATACATATATATCATATATCATATATCATATATCATATATCATATATCATATATCATATATCATATATCATATATCATATATCATATATCATATATCATATATATATTGTATAATTATATTATATTATATTATATTATATTATATTATATTGTATTGTATTGTATTATATTGTATTGTATTGTATTATATTATAATATTATATTCTATTTTAATTCTATTATATTATATTATATTATATTATAAATTGTTATATTATATTATATTTTATTATATTTTGTTATATTATATTATATTATATTATATTTTGTTATATTATATTATATTATATTATATTATATTTTGTTATATTATATTATATTAAATTATATTGTATTATATATTATATATTATATTATATTATATTATATTCTTTTATATTATATTTTATTATATCATATTATATTAAATTGAATTATATTATATTAAATCAAATTATATTATATTATATTATACTTTATTTTGTTTTTTATTATATTACATTATATTGTGTTTTATTATATTACAATATAATATAGTATAGTAAAATATAATATAAAATAGAATAATATAATATAATATAATTTAATATTAATATTATATTATATTATGTTATATTATATTATATCGTATTATATTATGTTTTATTATGTTATATTCTTTTCTATTCTATTTTTTACATTACATTATAGTATAGTATAGTATATTATATTATATTTTACTATATTATATTATATATTGTACTATACTATATTATACCATATTATATTATATTATGTTATATTATATTACATTATATTATGTTATATTATATTATATTATATTTTTTATATTATACTATATTATATTATATTTCACTATACTATATTATATTATAATATATGTAACGTAATGAAATGAAATGAAATGACATGACATGAAATCGAATGAAATGAAATGTAATGTAATGGAATGTAATGTAATGTAATGTAATGTATGGTATGTATGTATAATCTAGATATGTAAATGCAGCTTCAGTGTGGTATTCTTCGCAATCCTCGTCTTGTCCTAATTAGTGCGACTCCTGTCCCTACATGAATCAAGCCGAAGATCATTCTGGCAAAATAAAAACTATTAAAAATTCAGGCCTGGAATATCTTGGAATCTCTCGTATTCCAAAGCTGCTTGTCGGAAACCGAGGCTGGCAGAACCGCGGCAACCTGTTGCCAGAGCTGCCAGAGTTTATGAGCAGCGATCCCCGACAAAGGAGGCTGTATGTCCATGGCCATTGGTAGATGTGCGGATGGAATGGATCAAAACCCAATATAAATCATACCATATTATTATATATAGCCATATTACACAATATTTTTTGGGGATAAACATCCATTTAGCAAGCATTCCGGTGTTCACCAGGGTATGGAATGTGGGTGAACTGACAGCTATGCTTCTGAAGTGTGTCATCTATTGCGGCAGCAATGTCAGGCTCGGGGGTGTCCACCAAGGTGCGTCTTCCGATGGAAGCGGTTGAGCATCAGACCACCAAATTCAGCCACCGCTACTGAACCATGGATCTTCTCGACTATTGGATATATTGGATGAGTGCCGTCTGCATCAGTCTGAGCATTTCGGTTGAACAATCCTACCGTACCTAGGTGAAACACATACTACGACTACTACGACCTCAGATTGAAGCATTCAACTTGGTGATGGGGGAAACGCAACATTGTCAAAAAAAAGTGCTAGGAGTCAGCCTCATTTCTGGTCAGGAGAAAGCAAGAGCAAGACCAGAGTGACCAACGAAGAGTGGCAGAGCTTGAATCTTGCTAGGTACACGAGTTGATCGAGTTGTATCCTGGCTCTCTGGATCCAAGATGGACTGGGGGCAATGGTACTAAAACCACGCGTGGGGCGTGGCTTTTTCTCGTCACCCCGGGTGGGCTCAAAGGTGAAACCAAGAAGTCGTTGGACCATCTCGAACATTTGGGGACTTCAAACGACCACAAACGCAAGTCAAAAAGTCATTTCACGACTATATAACATATATATATAAATATATAAATATATATATATGTATATATATATATCTATATATGTATATATATATCTCTATATATGTATATACATATATATATATACACACATACATACTACTCGTACCTTGCAGTACATGATTTACACATGCATTTAGGTGTTGCACAAAATCTTTGTTGAACCTGAAAGTGATCTCACCCACTTCTTCCTCAGCGTGGCATGAAACCTTGCTTCGCTTTCTCGGAAATGCTTTCTGCATTTGAACGTTTCACTGTGCGTCTCCGCAGAAATGGGCCAGTTCATGATCATGACGAGGATTGATATTGAACGTGAAGAGGAACAAACCTCGAACATCTGACCTTTCCAACATGCAAGAAGGACGAAGGACAGTATGCTTGTGTCCAGACACTCAACTCTTTCTTTGTTTCCAGGCAAAAAAGAGACTTAATTGCAGTATAAAATCTGATATCTGGTGCGCTTTTGAAATTTCAATGCCAACATTGACCGTTTATTTATGTATTGACCATTCAAGAGCCCTGGCAGCCGACTGATAGCTGTCCCGCTCATCAAGCTGAAGCCGAGTTTCCCCTGGCCGTAGAAAGAGAACACCAAGAACATTTCCACCAGGAATTGACATTCATGGCCGATGATGGAAGAATAATCTATTTGCCACTGGCGACATTGGTTCAAGCTTTTGACGCAACGCTCGCGCCGACGTGTGGCTCGACCTAAACGGCCGTGTCAAGCTTAGCAGAGCCAGCCGATGTCTTGGAACTGGGGTAGTACTACTGTGTGCCCAGTATCAAGATATCGAAAGATATCAACAGATATCCACAGTCTAGAAGTCTAGATGGCACCTCGCTAAGGTTTGTAGACGAGGCGGGTCTGAGCTTTGCACTGGCGCTTGGGAAACTAGATGTTGGTCATGCCATGGCAATGCATGGCATCTGAAAGTACTTCTGGAGATGGTCTAATGGTGGCCAACCCCTGAATCATATTTAGCAGTTCAAGACGGTTTATGGCTCAGATTTGAAGACGTTGGCATCACTGGAGCAGCTTTTCTGTGCTCAAAAAAGACTAGAAAGCAAAACATGTTGGCAAGAGAATATGAGTAAACATGACTTGAGGCCCAAGCGCTTTGTCATCTCTGAGCTCAACATTTGACACTCATCACATCTCCGCATTTGTGTTCGTTGCTGACTTCAACGATGGGCTGCGTGAATGCTCCAGAGCAACCGCCTCCGGTGCGACAAACTGCTCCCACAGCTCCTCCTGCCGCTGCTGCCGCTCCTGCTGCCGCTCCTGCAGGTCTGATAAAAGTTGATGACATGACCCCAACAAATGGTTGGAATCGGGATAAATCGTGCATATCAACGGATATCAATGGAATTCAATGTATACTGTATCAATGACCCAATGGATCCCTGAAACACCGCGAGGTCAGGGCCTCCCGATTGCCACACACTCGTGCTTGTAGGATATCTTCATAATTGTTCATATCAATTTGGGTTTATTTCCAAAGGTCCCAAAGTCGATTTTTACAACCGGAAGGATCCTTACAGTAAAATTACTGTAGTGACCGACCTCCAGGTTCTGCCTCCACAGCACCTCGGAAGCCACCTGTGGATGTGAACAGCATTGTGGTGCCCGAAGGACCAAAGGGGCCTTGGGGAACATGGATCTGGGGTTTGGGGTCATGGGAATTTTTCTGTCGTGAAGAAGTGGTGATATACAGACTGACATTGGGTGATCTGAATTGATCTGATTGATCTTGTCTAGCTGTTGTTCACCATCATCACAATATCGCTACCATTTTACTCTTCTTCCCGTCAACGTCATGACAAGATATGACACGTGTGCTCACCTGTCTAAACTCCGTATCTCAACTTTCCAACTCGATATCCTGCATGAGGATTCATCCATCCTCGTGATTTGCCGCGTTACGACCCCTTCCGGGAAGAGCAGCCAGATTGGAGGCCAGCCCAGGATTCAGCATCTCATAGCTCCGTTGGAGGATCTTGGATGCTAATATGTCTCGGAGTGGCGCCTGTGACATCCTGTGACATCCTGTGACATCCTGTGACATCCTGTGACATCCTGTGACATCCTGTGACATCCTGTGACATCCTGTGACAGGTGGGAAAAGGATGAGGGTCAGTGGCGCAGCTATCCGCTCAATGATTCCATTGAGCTGGATCGCTACTGGCAAATCTTTGCTGCAAGCGGCAATGAGGCCAGCTGTATCCCCGGGTCTGACGTTGGGTTGTGTCAAAATTGGGAATCCAAAGAAAGATAAAGAAAGGCAATGTTGGGGCATTCCTGACTTCGAGGCAATTCCAAATTTGTGAAGATCAAGTATTTGAGCTGGCCCATTTCGAGATTCTCCTCTCGCTGTTGAACTAGGAAGACAATCTGGGGGCACACAATTACATTTACATACCGCATCCAAAGCAACTACTGTAGGTTCAATATGATTAATTTGCTTGAATTTTGATTCAGCTTGTACGCATGGCATCCCAAACTTTGACCAGTGTGTTAGGGTGGAGTTACCAAAGCGAAGATGAAGCTCTTGAAGAACGACGTGGTCACTGGCCCAGTGAAACTTCACGCTGTTGCTATTTTGATATAATTTCCATGCAATTCACCAATCCATTTGCCTGTTTTTTTTCCTTTTTTTTTTCGGGCATCGCTATGGCCCACAAAGACAGCATAGATAGCATAGCATACAGGGCTTCAGCTGTTGTCCTTGTCCCAGGTGGTAGACTTTGCCCAGATGACTGCGCAGGTGCGGCACCGACTTGCAGTCAGGGATTGGGCGTCTACTGAGTCTACTATATCTACACCATTTTAATCCATTTTACATGTATTTATTATATGACTAGCTTGTACCATATGATTTGATTTACACTAATGAATATATTGTTCCATCTGTTCCTGGTGGGAAGGCCACCGTACCAAGCATGTCAGCTTATCTCCAACTGAACCCATATGACCAGTAGATGATTTGGTGGAAAGGTTGGTATAGGGGAGGGTAAACTTTGTCTCTGCAAGGCCGAAGGCCGTCCCCGCAAGATTGAGAGGCCGGGGCAGGGGCATACAGGGGCGAGTCGTACCAAATGTGGCAGGTCATGGGCATGGCAAAGTGATGGCTCTATAAGTTTGGATTGGATAGTGCATGACACCACTTGCTCTTTATTAGTTTTCCTAGGAACCTGCACCATCCAGTATTCATAATGTATTCATCAGATCTCATCATTTTCGTTGCTGTTGCTGCCTTGCCAAGTGGAACACCTCTCCATGGTATGGTGTTGGTCCCTGGAGAATGATTATAGAGGATCTTGAGGCGGCGGCATTTCTGGTTGTGCAACTGTTGCCACATCCGGTAGGCAGTTAAAGACTCCTGATTGGCTGAGCAACCGTTTCTTCTTCGATGCGTCACTGGGCATTGATGCAGTCAATGTGCAGTCCAGCATCCCGGCAGCCGTGCTCACTTTGTCGTAACTCCTGCGGTGGCAACAAGGTTTACGGAAACACTGGACAAGGCTGGCAATGGGGAGCAGAGATCAGTGCACCTATGGAACTGCTCGCCAAATGGCACTGTAGCAATGCATGTCACTACATGTCACCGACAGATTTCAAAGCAGAGCTTGCCGTACCAAAATGTGCAGGCAGGTATCAAAGTTGAGACTGCTGCGGAGCAGATGTTCGAATTTCGATTCGTGCAGGACACCGATTTTGAAGTGGCATTGACAAAGAAAAATGCATAGCACAGTGTAAGCAAGATCCCGCTGCCATCTATTGATTTTCTTTACATCTTTGAACCCAGTCCATCATCCATCCACATCTGTTACATGTCCAGGACTTCCGGGACACCAAGGATGATGGGCGGAAGATGTATCGAGGCAATCGTGAAGCCTGGGACCTGAAGGCTTTTTGATTCTGGGATATTCTGGATTTTCTGGAACATGTCTGGACCGAAACACTGCAGGTGGCAGAGAGTACCACCTCCCGGTTGGGTGGAAACGTTTCGCAGTGCAAGTGAAGGGTGCCTACGATGATGGAACTTTGCCGGCAAAGAGAGCGGTGATGACCATTGCATTTCGCAACTGTCCCAGAAACATGCCTGTGACGTCATACCACGCCAGAGGCCATGCACTTGGGGCGTGAAACAACGAACATGTGTCAGGTGACAATGGCTGGTTGCGCGAAGATGAGAGTGGCTGGGCAGTGGCATACCATGGTACTTCCAAAGAAGGAGCCTTGCAATGATCTGAGATGCCTAGGGTGCCCAACCTGAGATGCCTAGGGTACTCCCAAAAGTGCACCTCCTTTTCATTTCATCCAACTTCTATCCCAAAGTGCCTGTTTTGGCATGTCCCAAAGGACTTGGCGGCATCCTTTGCACAGGCCAGCTCACAGAACTTCACCTAACTTCAGAATGCCGAAGAAAAATAGCGGCTGTTTTCGCCATGATGCCACTGTACCTGGGCCGTTCGCCCAGACACCTTGCAGTTCAAGGCGCTTTTTTGGTGTTGTGACTCCAGGTTTCAGGGTTGGAGAGCGTCAAAAGTTCGCGAAGGATACAGGCACCTGGGTGCTCAGGGTGTGACTTCAAATAGCAAGACCTGGGCATTTTGATTAGTTCTCTAGAGTCAGGACTAGATTTTGATACTGTGGATCTTAGCCGTAATCAAAGGCAAATCCAGGCAGCACATGATGTGTAAACAATACCTCAAGAATAGCGAAGATAGAGCAATCCGTCAACGTGTTTGCCAAAAAGATGGCAAGTATCAACGACCACGTTTTTCTATCTCTGGAATCATTGGAATCGTTGCAATCTTGCTTGTGTGATACCATCGAAACCGGAGGCGCTGGTGTCTACTGCACACCCATCATCGATGTGTCTTGGCAGGGTCAGAAAATGTCAGAAACATTGAGAAAGATGCAGAAAGATGCAGAAACCGTTTGGAACGCCACATGCGGGGACTGGGACGGACGACTCAGGTAGCACAGCACTACTCCAAACCAACGCTGCTCCGAGGCACAGAAAAACGATGCCGAGTCCATGCAGAGTAGTTTTTTAATCATTTGCGTGCAGACAGGAAGACTTTGTTGGATTTTGTTGGAATCCATGGAAATCCATGTGATTGTTGTTCAAAGACATTTTACTATAGAGTTTCCGATGAAAAGTCCTTGCGCCGCTGCTGAGCGCTGCCGTTGTTCCTCCACTGTTCAGGGCGCAGCGTTCAGATTGTCCTGCAGCTGCGGGTGCGACCCTCCGCCATCAATCCTGTAAGAGATCCAGGGGTCAGAAGCTTAGTGGTCGAGGCCTGCATGAAAGATGTTGAATCTTTATGAATCTTTATGATTCATTATGTGGCCTTGCAGGGCGATGTTTCGCATGTAACTCCAAATTTTGCTCACTTGGCTTGTCACACACCAAGTGACTTGAGGCCCATGAGTTCGAGCGAAAGTACTGGGTCATCAATAATCCTGATGACATCCGTGCTTATGGCGTCCTCATCAGGTGCGCTGGTCACATCATTTGGAGCATGATGTTTCTGGAGTGGAGAGCGAGTCTGAAGCCTTTGTAGGGTGGTACCATCCAGACTCTACATCTGTGAATTTGTTGATGAATACACACGCATATATATATATTATATAATTAATATATATATAATATATATATATATATTATATATAATTAATATATATAATATATATAATATATATAATATATATAATATATATATAATATATAATATATATATATATTATATATATATAATATATATAATATATATATAATATATATAATATATATAATATATAATATATATAATATAAATATATAATATATAATATATATAATATATATAATATATATATATAATATAATATATATATATAATATATATAATATATATATAATATTATACATATGTAATGTATATATATATACATATATTGTTAATGATATATATATATACATACGAATATGCTGGAAAGCCAAACTCTTGGTGTATGAGACGCCTGTGGACCTCAGGGAGCTCCCTCTGAGAGACTACATCTTGCCAGAGGCAGGGAGCAGATCCAGGCTGCACGGCGTGCGCAGCCGAATGCCCTGCAGGTCATGGTGTTTGGCCGTGATCATCCGGGAATCCGCTGCTCAGCTATTACTGGGTTCCACTGAGCCCCATGAAATGCTCGGAATCTTCTGGATCATTGGATCTAAATTTTTATTACACCAACCTTTGTGTGGAGCCAATCCTCTTCATCAGATATTTTCAGTGCCCCTGGGATCAAGCCAAATTCAACGATGGCAACTGCGGAGCCGAGGTGACAAGTTGGAGGAACTCGAGGAGGAGATCAGAAAACAGGGCGGCTGAGAACGCGGCGGTTTTCCTCCACATTCTGCAGGTGTGATGATGAAAATCACCACCAATTGGCACATTTTGGGCCCACGATACGTTTTTGAGATGATGGGCTTTGACCTAATCTGCAAAATTCCACAAATACAGACACATTATGACTTCAATTATGACTATGACAGTCATTGGCAGATTTTTTTTTTTCGCGATCTGTATCGGCCATGCAGGCTCTTTTCAGAGTAATTTGGTTTCTAAGTAATTTGGTTTCTTCTGCATGTAATATATGTAATGATATTTAACGGTCTTGCATTCATGAAGTATGTGTATCATCACGTATATAGGTGCTGTTGTAGGCAATATCTCACATTCAGGCAAGCAAGCGTCATACCAGTGCATAAATTGTATACAGACCTTGTTTCGAATTGTTGTGCTGATCAGTCTCCAGCCTTCGATGGTCAAAGATCTGAGCTCCCGTAGATCTGAAGTGCTTGTGAAGGTCATGAGAATCTTCGTGATGTTTACACAGCGCCTGTCAGCCAAATTGCGTGCGACTGCTGCAAAGCTGCAGTCGCCTGTTGTCATGGACCATCCACATTTTGCAGCTTGAGCAGACTGCGGAATGAAGCAAAAACATATTTTGCACCTGCCACTTGCTGCATGACGTTGCACAGATTAAGTATTAGGTTGGTGGGGCCTTTGCATGGGCACTCAGTGGTGTTTAGTTCAGTTCCAAACCTCTAAATCTTCACGATCCCGGGGAGCCTCCAGACTTCGGCAATACAGCTTGCAGCCATCCGTCAGGCTTCAAGCCTCCCGTGAAACATGCCCAGTGGTCCGTCATTGCAGACCAATCAGGACTGAAGGATTTGATGTTCGTACAGAAGTACCATGATTCATGATGACAGAAATTACAGAAGTACCATGATGATTTGGCCATTTGGCACCATGATTTACCAATCTTTACTGGTACCATGATGATTTGCTATTTTTTTTTGCGATGATTCAACGATTCAATCTTGCATCTCTTGGGGTCTAGTGCTGACAGGTGCTGACCACTTCTTGGATTGTCACTGTAGTCACAGCACCCATTGAGTTTGGCCAACTCTGGCAGTGCTGAGCAGAACCCATGATTGCTATTTGAAATATATTGAAATAGATTGACGTGTGTTGGAATTCCCTACATCCATGCAATACTTGTCTCAACATGACATTCTTGGAATTCGAGCATCTTAGAACGGTCTCAGGGGCATCCACCTCCGATGTCAGGATTGGGCGCCCGTGGCACGGGGTCTCAGCCGATGCAACATGGCCCCAATCTGATAGGACCTGCGGTGATGTCGCCCAGGTTTGGCAGAAAGCTGGGCCAAAGGGCAAAAGCGCTAAGAGCGCTTCAGAGGCAGAAGCGACATTCAGCAACATTCAGCAACTTCAATGATTTTTAGATTACTTTCAGCCTCAAAGAGTTCAGAACGAGGCCTCATGCCTTGATTATGCTTGATTCTTCCGGCAGATTGGGATCGCTTTCTGCTTAATACTCGTATGATTCGACTGCTTCGCATGCTTCGCATCCCCTGCGAAAGGTGAATGCTGCCCGACGAACAGGTGGCTATGTTGAAACAGACAAGAAGCAGCTGCCTCAACATGCCTCAACGAATGGTGGTTGTTGGGCTGTGGCACGAGAGAATTACCCATATGGTTTCGATTGGTTTCGACCCCTGGACCGGGACATGTCTCAGATGATTGGGAATGGCAGTGGAACACATAGGATCTCATAGGGTTTTGATATGTTTTGATGGTTTTTATATGGTTTTTGGCGGTTGACACATTTCATCAGACTCTATATGGCTACCCATATACTTTGGGCATTTCAGCATCACTAGCTCGCTCAAAAAGATCGCTTTTTGGAGCTGAGGTTTGCAGGTGGTACCAATCAGCCGGGCTCTTAGCAAAACTGAATAAACATAGGTATCTTTAGCAGTACAGTCGCGTGCAAGTTTTTGGCTTCCTGGACACTGGTGCTTTGGAGTCTCCGTTTGATCCTTTGAACAAGACTCACTCATGGTCTTGTCCTACCAAACAGGAAGCAAACCACACAGGACCCAGGATAGTTTTATGTATTATATATGACACAATATTAGATTAGATATTTTGAAGTTTCTGCCAAGAGATGCCCGAAACTTGGAAAGTCCCCAACTTGGGGAGGAGTGTGGTGGAAGGCAACTTGTTTGGTCAAGAACCCCATGAAGTTGGTGTCTGAGTAACAAGATGACAGGTCTGCGCATTCAACTGTACCAAATGCGAAGAAGCTTGACGTATGCCTGACATGCTTCTGGCTGAGGGCAACGTAATGAAGCATTCAATGTCCTTCGTTAAATCCTTCGCTGCTGTTGTTATTTGTTTGTTCCTTTATTCATGTAATCAATTCCTTTCTTGCATGTGCTTGCTGAGTGACAAGTCATGAGGTCCTTCTCAACTTCGCACAATGTCAAAGCATATTATAGCATATATTCATTGGATCTCCTGGTCAACAAAAATTATCCCACGAAGAAAAGGGATGTATGTGATTTCTGCAAGAATTACAGTGTCATTTGTGGGATTGACATAACACCCAAGAAAGTTCAATCGACCATTTGTTATCAGGAAGAACAGTGGCTTTGCAAAGAGGAAGTACTGTTTTCTAGGGGGTTCAGCTGAACCGTTGAAACACTTCAACGTGACAGTGCAATGTTATGGCCAGGAGAATGGAGAGACCTTTCGACACGCCACTGTCTCCCATGAATTCAAGACAGCTTTGCAGCAGGCAGAAGCAGATTTCAGCCAAGAAATCCCTTGAAAGTCAGAGTCAGTAGTTGTAGTTGGAGGGAAACCACTAGCCATATGTATTAAATCTAACACAATACTCTATCATCAGCATTTTTTAAGGGAAGGCGACTTATTTTTGTTTTTTTTTTCGCGGCAGGTTTTGTTTTTTTTTTGGGTTCCTGGTTCTATGCTTTCCTGTTTCTCTGATTTTCTGCTTTTCTGCTTCTCTGCTTTTCTGCTTCTCTGCTTTTTGCTTTCCCTGCTTCTCTGCTTTTCTGTTTTTCTGCTTTTTGCTTTTCCTGCTTCTTTGCTTTTCTGCTTCTCTGTTTTCCTTGCTTCTCTGCTTTTGTACTTCTGTGCCTTTCTACTTCTACTATTCTACTTTTTCTTTTCTTCAGTCATGTGTTTTTGCTGCTCTACTTCCTGCTCCTTTGCTTCTTTGCTTCCTGTCTTTACCGTCTCTTTGTTTTTCATTTTCTTTTGCTTTATTCTGTTCTGTTCGTATCCTAAATGAAACCCTAGAGAGACCCTAGGTGAAACCCAAAAAAACCCTAAAGAAATCCTGATAAGAAACCCTACATGAAAACCTAAATGAACTCTAAAGAAACCATAAATGAACCCTAAAGAAACCATAAATTAATCCTAAAGAAACCATAAACGAACCCCTAAAGAAACTTTAAATGACACCCTAAATGACATCCGAAAGAAACCCTAAACAACACTCTGAAAAAAACTAAATGAAACTTTAACTGACACCTTAGTTGACACCCTAAAGAAACCCTAAATGAAACCCTAAAGAAACCCCAAAGAAACCCTAAATGACACCCTAAATGAAACCCTGAAGGAACCCTAAAGGAACCCACTTGAACGTGAAAAGAAATCCTGATAAGAAACACTGGAATGAAACCCTAAAGAAAGATTAAATGAAACCCTAAAGAAACCTTAAATGAAACCCTAAAAAAACTCTAAATGAAACCCGAAAGAAACCCTAAATGAGACCCTAAATGAAATCCAAACTGAAACCCTAAATGAAACCCATTTGAACGTTTTGAACTCCTGATAAGAAATCCTGATAAGAGACCCTACATGAAACCGGAAAAAACCTAAATGAAACTCTAAAGAAACTTGAACCCTAAAGAAACCCTAAATGAAACCCTACATGAAACCGTAAAGACACCCTAAATGAAGCCCTAAATGTAACCCTAAATGAAACCTTAAAGAAACCCTAAATGAAACCCCAAATGAAGCCCTAAATAAAACATTAAATGAAACCCTAAATGAAACCTTAAATGAAACCCTAAATGAAAGCCTAAAGAACCCTCAAGAGACCCACATGAACGTTTGAAGCACCAGAATGTAGCAAATACCATGCAAATCAGAGGTTGAAATGCCAAAATATAACAAATACCATGCAAAATGGAAGGCAGACATGGCCAAATGTAGCAAATACCATGCAAAATGCAAAGTGACCATGCCAAAATGTAGCAAATACCATGCAAAATGACAGGTTCTAGTTCCAAACTGTTCCAAATACAAGGCAAATGGTACCGGGAAAGAAAGCAAAAAAAAAAATCCAAAACCTGAGGCAAAAAAAATCCAAAAACTATTCTACACCCTTTTTCAAGTATATAATAATTCAGGTGTAGATTAATTGTACGTATAATACAAGTCATATTCTAATTATCTACAGTGGGTTTCCCCCGTGGTGAAACCATAAACCACGGGCCGGGAGGCGCGCCTAGCCAAGAAGATGACACAGCAGTCACTGGCCACGGCCATCAACGAGAAGGTGCCCGGTTCTCCAGGGCAATTTCGAGAAAGACGAAAGGTCGGAGAAAGGTCGGATTTGGTGGTTTCAATAGGTTTCACTCACACAAAAATGCAGGAAGGATTTAGGACTCCTAGGACTTAGAAACTTGAAGGATGGGAAGATGCACTTTGGGATCGTGGCACAGGCTAGTGTGATCAACGAGTATGAGAGCGGCAAGGCTCTGATCAGCTTGATTTGGAGTTCATGCTTGGCATGATTTTCATATGTTGTCAATGCTGCCTGATAAGGAAAGAAGGATAAACTATTCTGGGGTTACCGGGAGATTCGTGAAATTTCATGAAATTCTGCTTGTAGAAGTCGTTGCTGTGAAAAGATGGACCCTGGGGAGGCTATTCCAAATGGCGCCATCATCAACAAATTGAGTCTCGGCGAAAACTGCAACAAACCATTCATTAAGCAAAACATCATTCCCATCCAAGGAACAAGGCGCTGGGAGTCCGCCTCCCCAAAGCCAAATGAGGCCGGTGGGTGACTCCAAGTGTTGTTGGTTGACCATGAACGATTGAGGTCATGATCCTGTTTGAACGTCTTTGAAAGCAGAGAAGGAAAGTTCTGTATCACAAGCGTTTCTGGATGAGACTTAATGATGCCTCATCATGCCTCATAATGCCTTTACCGCACGTGTTTGACCTTTTTCCATCTTTGTCCCAGTGCCACAGAGGCAAAAAAAAAGAGTTGACTGATGGTCTCACCGTGACAAGAATGGCCGGGCAGGGCAGACTTTCAGTGAGAAAATACTCACCAGTGCAATTCTACAATCCACCGGTTTTGAGTTATCTTGTTTGGGCCTACCCTGGGTTGCTATGATTTGCTGGGCAGACAGTAGACTCTCTCCGGCTGCAGTGTGCGGTGTCCGACATGTGTTGTGAAAAATATGCGAAACTTTAATCAACTTTCTGCATTGTCTCCATAGGCGACTTCAAAGGATATGACTATGCTGATTTTTTTTTTCCCAAGTTGTTTCCAGAAACCAGGTTTTTCCAGTCTGGACTTTGCCAAACAGGGTGTTTATTCGCCTGTTGTCGTGATAGCTGTTAAGTTTTTTTTTCCAGCTAGATTAGAAGATGCTCTTTTATCAATTGGACAGAATTGATCTAGTTGGTGGTTTTAAATGCTGCGGGGGTCTTGACTTCAGTCGCATCTTAAAGGGGCTTGAGTGGCGCCTGGTATGCCAAGCACAGCTTTACCCTGTACCCCTTGATTTGCTTCTTGTACGAAATCATGGATTTTGTCATTTTACCGTAGCGCCAGCTTGCTTTCTCCATAGTTGACCTGGTATGAGATGATCCATGATTATCCAACTATATCTTTCAGCTGATTTGAAGCCACCGACCAGTGATGTATGATGCATGTTATTTATGGTTATTTAACCTTCCAATCACAGCCAGATGTTGGGTCCACCATTCGCTTTCTTGGAAAGCTGCGACGTCGTAGCTGCACACTGCTCGCTTGTCGAAAGCTAGGGACTTCGGCACTCAGAAATTGGCGACCCATCCATGTCGAATCCATGTGGAGTCCAGCTGTTCTCAGGAGATGTCAGGTTTGATGCCAAGGAGTGCCAGAGGTCGACAGGGCCACCCTCACAGCGCTGCGGGTGTGCGCCGGAAAGCCAAGACTGAGTGGGGCATATGATCCTGGTTTAGATACTCTAGGATTCTGAGAACCACCCAGATGAAGGTCTGTAGAATCTTACCATTTTCTCAATGCATTGGGTGCTATGCCAAGTCCACAAATAATTCCCACTTCTACCCCTGGATCATGTCTTTTTCGAAAAGAAGCAATGAAAGATCGTCATTTCTCAAAACACAGCAAAATGCAAATAGGGGGTCATCTTGGCAACTGATGCCCTTTTACCATGTTGAGACGGTTGCTTGAGGCCTAATTGACGTTCAAGATTTTTTGTAATCGCAAATCCAGAAGCCATGCGTGCAACCTTTGAACTTAAATTCGACTAACCAATATATATATAATTTATATAATTATATATATATATACATACGTATATATAATTCATATGAAGCCAACCCAATCTGCTTCTAGCAGCGTATCTAAAGGTGTTCTAAAGGCATGTAACGTATCCATGGCCTGATCCGTCACTGGGTCATACTGAGGTCGGTGTGAGCGCGACATTTTCTCCTCGCGCAGACAGCCCCCCGAAACGACGGCCGGCCCATTTCGAGTCTTCCCCCGTATCCTCCAGTAGACTTGTTCAGAATCTTTGCTGCTCCCCTTTTTAGTGGACATGTGCAATGCTGGATATAATATGATGGGAATATATGGGAATTAATATAATATAATAAAGCCGTATATATAGCCATTATATATAGCCTTTATAGATCTTTATAGCCTATATAAGATATCATAAGATATGATCATGATATATCCCCATGATTCATTAAATGTATCACATGCTGTGGGCAGTTGGCATCGGCCATTTGGGCATTGTCCTGGCGAGTGGTACAGACCTCGAGCGCAAAATTCGTCAAACATCCAATGGATTTGAACGTTGGGAAGCAGAAGCCCAAAAATACCATGGTTTGATTATGTTTATTTTTAGTTAATTTTAATTATGGTCTATTGGTTCATACGGTTTATCCTTATTTTCGGGGTAAAGTTATTAAACATGATTAAAGAAAGGCAGTTTTGGGGTATATCCCATTTTTGGACTAAGCCAAATATGTATGTATATAATTGTATATATATATACATACATGTATATATACATATATATGGATCATACAGCATATTTCAGCCGGGATGTTTACATTACTACTTCACCGGTGCATCTTGGAAGCTGAGCTGAATGCAGTAGCTAGCAGAATGCTAGTTGTTGTACCCAGGTGCAAAACCTACAGAACGATCTTGTCCAGCTTGATGAACGGATCGTTTGACGGTGCCGCCCGTTTGGCTCCTACTACAGCATGCCCACTTCATTTCACATGTGTTAAGCTCATGGCATCAACTGCTGCGCACACAGGACGTCGGGTAGATTGTCGACCTGGGGTTGGTCTCTGGGTCAAGACAGAGGGGCGGTCCCATGTCCCATCATCCTTTTCACGACGTTTATTTCAGATTTATTTCAGATTATTTCTGGAGGTATTGGAACAAGGTTCGTGCAGAGTGCCAGCACAAAACGATTGACTCAGCTGCATGACACCGCAAGAACTCGAAGGCAAAACAACTTGCGCTGATTTCTGGTCCTGTATCAAACTGACGGTGCACATTGGGAGCTTCAATAATTTGATCATAAATTGATCCATTGCCCCCTTGTCAATCAATGAATGTGCATTCGTGCCTCCTTTTTGGAATCTTTTGGCTACATCATTGACACGGAAGTGGAAAACCCACCATCAAATGGATATTGCAAGATCATTTTCACATATATATATTTTCACATAATTTTCACATGTTTCTTAAGTTTTTTTTTTTCAATTTATGTTTTTTACATCTTCCAGGTCCTAGGTTCCCGTGTGCCGCCAGGATCTAATGACCTGGGAAGCGCAGGCAGCGGGTGCAGCGAGCTCGCTGCTGTTTGTTTTGTTGAATTGTGTCGGGCGCCCAGCGGCATCGGCATCTGGTGAAGCAGCCAGTTGAGAGTGATACCCTCTGGTAATTTAACATAACTATGGAAAATCACCATTTTTAATGGGTAAATCAACTATAACTTGCCATTTTCCATAGCTATGTTAAATTACCAGAGGGTAGTTTAGAGTTTAGAGTTACTTCATGTTATTTTCAAGAGGAAGCAGCTTGATCGAAGTGACCGATCCGAGGCTATGAACATCTATACGAAGTGGTTGTTTTCCCCAGGCACAGACGTTGACATTGAGTGAGACAGAAATGGCGAGCTGAAAAATTGTATAGACATGGATGAAACATGCCGGAGCAGTGATCAGGGAGAAAAACCTTTTTAGACGTAGTATAACTCGACAATTTAGGAATCTCTGACCCATGGACAAAAGATGGTCGGACTGTCATATTTTTCCTGCAACTTTGCACGTGTCTTCCAGGAGGCGGCAATTTTCCTCTCCCCTGGACAATGCTTGCTGTACAACAGATTGAGGCTGAGCCGTGCTGGGAGGACAATGCCTTTCGAAGCATGTCGATGCATAACGTGACATGACGTATAGATCTAGTATTGGAATTCACCACAGAACCCAATTGCTCCAAAGTGAAACTTCGACTAACTTCGTCAAGTCATGTCAAGTCACTCTCATGCCGCGTGATTCCGACTTCCGGAGGGGTCTCCAACACTGGAACATGGGCCATCAGCAACCCAACAGCCTTTGCCTGGATCCGGATGATCCGGCCAGGCCTACCTAGTGCTGCAGATCTTGTTGGCCATCAAGGCACTTGCCAAGGGGGACCTTTGTAGTCTGCTAAAGATGCCCTGGTGAAGATTGGTGAGGATGGTTTTGAGATGTTTTGAGATGTGTCAAGTGACCATGGGCCCATGCGTCTACAATTTCCAAAACTGAACAGAGGAAGATAGATGGGGAAGCTCAGATGGGGAAGCTGAGGTTAGCTCCAAATTTCACAATTTCGGGGAAGTCACATCACAATCCCCTAAGATATCACCTGCGCAGGATCCTACCGGTCGCTTTGGCTGGATAAAAATGAGGACGCGGCGACGTCGGGCAGGTGGCAGAACCTCATCAACCCTAGAAGCTTATTATATAAACCATATCATATCCATATCATATAAGATGGATTTTACGAAACCTCTAGTGCTATTATTGTTGGGGGGAGTGCCCTTTGGGAGGGTACTCTTAGATTTCAGCTCAGGTTTGGAGTTTTGAGACTTTTTGCTTCCATGTTTCTCCACAGCTTCCTTCGCAGATACTGCAAAAAAAAAGTGTTGATGGTCATTCTCCACATTCCGCACAGCTAGCGATGTTTGTGCTGCACCTGGCATACCCAATACAGGCTTCAGAAATACGAACCCTGATGGTTGATCCTTATTTGTCTCACTCCAATTTAGTAAAATTCCTTAAGATTCCCATTTTGGGGTACTGTCCTTGCAAGGACCAGTGGCTCTGAGCAGGTGTCTGCAGTTGTCCTAGCTCCAGGTGAAGAGGACGATGGATCCCGCGGGTATTTTTTCACCGATACCGCTGGGGATACCCCCCAAAAAGGCACTGTTTTGCAATGTGTAATTTGGAACGGGAAACTGATCTAAGTTGAACCATGATAAGCCACTGGATTTTAGGTAACCTTACTTTCAGACACAGACAATATGCCAACGATCTGGCTTACAGTTGGATATGGAATGAGATGTATGTGGCTTGTTTCGTGTAATTCCACGGGCTCAAGCTGCTCCAAGCAGAGCAGACTAACGTAGCAAACGTTCTAAAGGAAGGCGAAAGGCAGGTGCCGGTTTGGCCCCTGCTTCCAGATCGGTTTTATCTCATCTTGAAACTATGCAATAGATCCTGACATATAGTGACTGTACAACTAGCTTATATCATCAGACAAGATTACTTCAAAACGGAAGGTGGGATCAAGCCCTTATCCCTTTCTGCGGCAGCCTGGCGCAATTTTTTCTTGCAATGGCGGACACAGAAGAAACACCGATCCTCAAGGTGCAAGCCCAGTGCAAAAGATGGAAGTGGTGCCGTTGGCTGGCCATCTCTTGATTTGCTACGATTGAAACAAATGGTATTATATTTATCAGTATGAAGACATGTATAAATGTACAGATATTTGTGCCATGGTCAAAGTTGGATTGTATATATACCCACATTGGGGGATGATCATCAATCCATTGATAGAGCGTTTGGATCCCCACTATGGGATGGATGACCATGAACCATATGCCATATGCCATGTGTTGATCTTAGCACATGTTTATTGATTTAGTGGACCTCCGAAAGCCGAAGGTGAAACCCGAAGTGGCTCATAGCAACAGCGGCTTCGTGCCGCTGCTGCTGCTCAGCATTCTCTACATTACGTCAGGTGGGGAAGTCTGTTGCTCAAGCTGTTCATCCATCTGGGTTGGAGTTGTGGTTTTTGTGGTAGAGAAAGCATGTGGAAAAACGACTTACTTTCTTGATCCAAAGAAGGTTCGTCCCAAATTGTCAAACACGGTCCCATGCTGTTCATCCTTTGTATTGTTGCTTTCAACAGCTCACCTGTGAACGGACTTTGACACCAGGTGCCTACACCACCGTGACAGTCTTTACTGGCGATGGCATTGCAAAACAGCCAGGCTTTGGCCAGAAAACAGTCCACATGGGTGCCTGGGTGGCAAGGTTTTTTGGTGACTGTCTGTCAAGCATCTGGGATCCAACTGCAGGGGATTGTTGGATGTGTGGATTTGAACAATAGACTTCCAACAAGAGATCCCATACTTCCATGTAATTCCATATACTTCCAGAATCTTCCAGATATGAGATGAGGAAAGGCTTCTGAGGAGAGGCTTCCCAGGATGCCAGTATTGGCACCTCGCATACGACATCTCAAGGCGAGACAATGCTTTGGTTGGGAGCAGCTGTCTCCACAGCTGCCTTTCTGTGACTTGGAGCAGCTTATTTGGTGAGGCACTGGGCGTATTTCACAATGATCCACCGTCCACATCCGTCCACCATCGATTTGCTATCTATAGAAATACAATTCCATTGTGTCCGCATTCGAGTTTCACAACCTTGGCCATGGATTTCTCGATATTTATTGTTCCGGTTGATATCATAGAGAGTGAATATGGAAAACCATTTGTTTGCAGAGGGATGATAGGGAAGGGGCCTGCCGTGTTGAGGCCCCTCTTTGATATTTACGGACGCCGCGACCTTCTCTACTTTGCTGGCGTTTTGGGTGCCTTGTCAACGAATTGTCAGGCAAATGATGATGCTTGTAAAAGTTTGTTTGCCTTTCTGTACGCTGATGTCTTGAAGGGTTGCAAGATGTTGCAAGTATAGCAATCAGATCAATCAGCTTGTGCACTTCTTCCCCAAATCTCGTTTCTGAGTTCAGTGTTCGATTCTCTGTTTCTTTGAGCCGGCTGGAAGGATTGACATCAGCGGCCAGCGCACTGCTTGCTACCTCTGCCTGGCTCTATTTGGTAGCTCAATTTGGGCGTCTTAGCTGGTCTCCACTTGATGAATCCCCTGGTTTTGTCACTGCCGTTGTCCCAAGGATCGGACTATTCTTATTTCCCACTGGCCTTACAGCTTGGGTTCTAGCTGCGGACAGGGTTGCTGCGCGGATTTGGGCGGATAGACTTGTCCGGGCATCCCTTAAAAACAACGGTTGAGCATCGACCATCACCGGGCACAGGAGAGCGTCTCCCCAAAGGTTCACAACCGTATGTTGGCTGTTTGGAATATATGCTGCCCGGCTGCAATGAGATCCTTTGGATCTTTTGAACAACGCAAAGGATCCTGCAATCGTTGGGTTCCTGAAGATCCTGAAGACTCCTATTCTCTTCCTATTTATTGTCAACATATCCTGAGGCTATTTGACTGTAAACATTTGCTAATGATGTTTGGACATGTTGGAAGAAAGTGCCCCCCAGCAGATCAGACTTTCAAAAGGTGGCCTTTGTGTTCATACTTTGATACATCCTCCATGTAATGTGTTGCACGTGACCCATATTATTCTATATTATATATATATGTTGCATAAGAAACATGGATATTTCATATTATATCATATATCTAAATAAATACACATACGATCCCATACCATCATCATCCCATCATGCGTCACATATCACCGTATACCATCACATATGTATATCACATCATATCACTACGTGATATATTATGCACCATATCTATAATATTCTATAATAATATAGACAGACTACATATCTTTATCTGTACTATCCTGTACTCGTATCATAACGTATGCATCATACATATCATACATCTGCATATGCATATGCATACATCGAACAGGTGTATCTATGTCATTTGCGAAAGAACTGCACAGGCCTACAGTCTGAACATTATCCCACGAGCCAAGGCTATTCGCTCTTTGGTATTTCCATGGCACCTTGGTTAGCCTTGGTTGCACCAGAAGCCAAACAGTGACTGAACTGAGTGCCTCTTCAAGGCCCCTTCCCTGCCAAGGCAGCTTGTTGCCTTATTATCAACCGGACGAACATGAGCTGGAGAATGGAGAGCGTCTTTTGGTACATGCCTATTGTGCTTCGGCAAACCACATGGTTGTGGGCGATTTTGCTTCCAAGAGACATGTTTGAATATGTTCGAGAGTGGTTTAACAACTCGGTCTTTCAGGCATTTCTTGTTTAGTGAGGTGTCTGCACGCAATTGATGGTGAATGTATGTGAATGTCATACTTGGCGAGTTAAGTGACGGCACGAGAAACCCATTTCAACAGGGGGGCACTAAATTTATCCCAGCTTTTAATGATTCACGCTGATCCTTTGCCTTGCATGAGGTAGGTAGCCTCATGGTTGGCCCGTTGTATGTCTCCGAGTCTCCAGACACCTGTCAGAATCCAATCAATCGCCTGCGGCGTAGTCAGTTTTTCTGTGGGAAAGTGTTTGTATACAAACATTGTTTTTCGACTGCTTTCTGTTCCGTTGTTTCCTGATTGTCATATTTGCTGGCCTTCTGGTTACAATGTTCACTTTCGGCTTTCTGGCATGGAAGAGGATACTGTGCATTTTGCGGGTTCCAAACGGATGGACCATAGAGTGCAACAAATTGCAAAAAGAAGAGTCGCTCCAGGAAAACTGTCATTGTACAACTTGATTTCCGGTGACTGACTGAGTGTCCAAAGATGTCCCTTAGGGCCGTTCGACTCAAGGAGTGTTGTGATGTGAATCCAGGGAATCCACGCAACTCGTGGAAATACATCCACAAAATACACATTTGATTCATTTGATCGTATAATTTCACTCCGGATCCGCAGTTGCGACCACCAAGGAGATGGCGGGAAAGTCAGACCGAATTGACAGGACGCTGCTCTTATCCACCTGACCTTGCACTTGAAGTGACCACTTTAGTCAGGATGACTAAGGCCTACGGCACAACTTCCGTATTCTGATTCTGTTCCTGACATATTCGATCAGTCAGACTCAGTGACTCAGATCAGTCTGGGGACATCGCAGATCATCGCAGCACGACCTTGGAGCCTAGGGAGCATCAGCCCAGACCTACACCTGTACCCGTGTACCCTGTAGCTGGCTTCGGTGCTGTAGATGTGAACCTGTGACGTGTAGTCGCTTGTTTCTTTCTGAGACCGACACCATGTTTCTACTAGAACCTTACTGCGCCAAATTGCTTCTCGTTCTTTTTTGCTGCACCCTTTGGTGGGAAGTTGTTAAAATCCAAACCACAGAGCTCCCTGCACAAGCTGTGTGTTTAGATCCCTTGTCCCAGCAGGAATGAGAGTAGTTTGAGGGTGTGGCCCATGGTGGGATATTTGGTCGCGACGGTGGACAACTCAGAGTTTCTATGTGTGTTCCGCAGGTTCGTTGCTGCTTATGGATAGACGTGGCATGTGGGAAGCAACTGCTTCTATCAATGCAAATCACACATGTCACATGTCCCATATCACTGCTTAAGTCTGATATATTGTGAATGCCTCTTTCGAGCCTTTCACTGATTGACACCATCGTTTTCTAAGTGAGCAGAAAACACGTCCCTCATTGCAAACCAACGGAGCATGATGCAGTACTGTGTGCGGTGATTGTTTATCTTTAACTTGTGGCGTTAAATGTTTTGATGTTGCAGTCGAAGCCAAGGCCGTTTGTTGGAGCGCTGTGAGCATGAGTTTCTACGCCTTGTCATATAGCTCCAGCCCTTCAGCTGAAGTATGGCTGTTGATTGAATGGGATGAGTCATATGACATCATGTGACATCATGTGGCTATGGAATGCTATAGATACATGTAGACAGGGATTAGATATGCAACTGTCCTGTGACATCAAAGTTACGTGCATGAAACTGTAGTGTTTCAAACAAAGAAGACTGGGTCCTGTGGTAGTTGTGAGACAAAGGAAGACATCCAGCGAAATGACGTCATTTGTTTTGCTTCCGTGCTTGTGAGAAGAAGATAGAACAAGAACATTCTATATCAATGACACTGTCAGTGCGCTAAGCCAGTTTCCAGGATTAGCCAAGGTTCCCTATCTCCAGACATCTACCTGAACATGGCCCTTCTAGCAGGGATTGACTGCGTTGTCTATGGCTGCGCCATGCCCATCATTGAGCCTCGACAGCGCTGAAGCAGGAAGTGTCCATGGTACCTGCAGACAATGAGTATTTCGATTATTTTGTACGTTTGCACATGCATAGTAGAGTACTACATAACCATATATACAATGTTCCTTTATTTGCCTGGGCCATTCTGACCGTTTTTTTGGGTCACTGGAAACTGGGAAGCGTACTATAGTTGCTGGTTTTGCACAAGTAGGAGTTTTGCGGAAGATTACATTAATTTCATGTTAGGCCATCTACGCCACTTTCGCAATATTTCGATCGATGATAAACTGTCAAAGCTGCACTGACTCGCAAAAAGTTTTTTTGATAACACACACACAGAGAGATATTGTACATGCATATAATTAAAGATGCTAAGATCATAACGTGACAAATCAAGGCCACTGGCTTGAGTTTAACTGCTGAAATTGGTTGCAGGATGTTGCAAGTACTTCATGAACATAGTATGTAACATGTCAGGAAGACTCTCAGACTCTGAGATACAGAGAGAGAAATCAGAGTCAAGAATCTTTTTGCACTTTGAGACAAAATCAGCGAGGAACTTTACTGTAAATCTTGTCAGATAGATCAGATAGAGAGAGGGTGCATTTTCAATTTGATGCTGTCATTGCAATTCCCTGCGCAGTTTGCTTGTGTTCAAGGCTTCACTAGTTTCACTATCTCTCTCTCTCTCTATTCCGTGCAGGGGTTATCTTGACCCAGCTGGTTCACACAGCGCAACAACATCTCCCTTCCTTGCACTGGTTCACCTTGACATTGACATGTGTATATTATACTGTATACTATATTATATGCAATATACATGAGTAGCAAACCTGCAGTTATTGGTTTGGTCGCCAAGGACTGGCTCTCTCCAAAGGGGGCTCAGCTGACCTCCTTGTCTTGCAGCTTGGCTGTGCTTGGCTGTGCTTGGCTGTGCTTGGCTGTGCTTGGCTGTGCTTGGCTGTGCTTGGCTGTGCTTGGCTGTGCAGCGTGTCTGTAGAGTCAGCGTATCCTGAGGCGCAGCTGCCCTGATGCTGTTTTGTAGCTCGGCTGATCACAACCGGATTTTTGTCGGGGGAAGTACTTGCAACTGACCCAGCTACCGATATCGCGAATACCCAGACACACAAACTGTGTCCCATTGGTTGAGGAAATAGAAGTCATGTCGATTTGGAGACCAACTTGAACTTTGCTTCCTACCTGGTCTATCCACACCATCCCATATAATTACATGCCGAGATTCAGTTGATTGGTGGATGTGATTTCAATCTGAAAGGTTTGAGCACAGGTTTCTGTTTTCTTATTGCCTTGAACTGCGGT